TATTATATGTATATATATATATATATATATACATATATATATATATATATATATATACATAAATATACATGCGGTGATCTTATTTTTTAATGGTTTGTTTCGGTCGAGCGATGAGCACGTATCGATGTCGGCTCGACGCGAGCCACGATATACAGCCCGTTGATTGATCTTAATTGAAACTAAACGGCATTTTTCTTTTGACGAGAGAACACACTGTTGTTTGTCTCTCATGAATTTTGCACCGTAAAAAAGTTGTGTAGAGAGCGGACCAGAATAATCAACTTGTAACAACGCGTGTACTGCTGCTTCAATCACGTATTAATTCGAATCGCATCTCGCGCCGGAAACGAAGACACACGCAGATTTGCGTCTCGGGATAGATCGCGCGAGATGCGATCACCAGATTAGCATTATTGACGCTTCGTTAGGTTGCTTCGATGACATCTCTCTATTCATACGATATCATGTTTGCCGTGTGTGAACGCTCGCAAGAGATTCAATCCTCGAAGGCGCCATCGCTCACACACGGGCGAACACATCTACAGATGAGATTTTTTATGATGGTTAGATCTGCTAACGTCATAACACAATTTCCTTACTTGCGTGTAATAGCAATTTTAATAGCAATTTTTGACTTCAAAATGAAAAGCGAAACGTTATGTTCGTCTTTTGGCCGAACGTTTTGCGCAAAATTTAATTTTTTAAAATTATTATTTATAAATAACACGGTATACTGCATTATAGCATCAAATTTCTTTTAGTTCTTTTAATTGAAAACATCACTGTCACATTTTAAATATATACGTTACGTTTATAATATTTTTATAAAAGTTAGCTACTTATAAAGGAAATATGTTAATGTGCATTTTGATAATAATGCGGGGAATAATCTTAGCAGTCTATATAATTTTTATTGAATTAAAACTGGCAAGTACGGAAATCTTCTTGAAACATAGTAAAATATTCACGTAGTTAAGGACGACGATTCTAATATTGTACATACTCACATATGTCTTCGTCACATGCTTCACTAGTCACTCTCATCGGCTAATTCGCTCGTAGAGATTTTTCTGAGTAAAACAGAAATGTTTGAAATGTGTTGCTCTGTCACATTGTATATATATATATTCACATCATTGATTAATACCAAGTATTTTAACGTACATCGACACAACACATGCAAACACATACCTCCCTCGGTTTTCAATTATATTTTATATATAAAAGAAAGATGAGATTGAAAAAGATCTCTCGATTAATGTTACAATCGAATTGTCATAATTGTCGTATCAAAAATTACATTTGTGTATATTACATCACTCACTCACTCGCAAACAGCCTTTGACGAAATGCTTATGCATAACTCTGTGCAGTGTTTCTATTTTTACTTAACCGCGCGCGCGTATCCGTCCTCGAAACCGTACGAAAGAAATGGAGCAGGTGACACTACGAAAACACAATTTTACGATCCACCAAGCGAAAATGTTACGAATGGACGGAAGGAGAGTAGAGAGAGCAACCTAATTCACAAGATGTCGATCGGCAAGGATTGCGAATTCTTGAGACGTGTATTTCCGAGCGTTGTGATTTTCACCGCGCACTTGTTATATGCGTTGGTATGAATAAACGAAGTAACTTTTATATATATATATATATATATATTTAATAAATAAAGTTAAAACGATAATCACGTAAAGATTGAATATCGATAATGTAAATGAAAGACTGCGACACTTTTATTCTATAGCAGAGAAACGTTTAGCATGTCTAGAAACTTGAAGAACCATTCAAGCCAAATCGATACGTGACTCCCGATCTCGCATCGAACTGCAAAAAACGCTTCGCGTATTTAAGCCTTTCGCTGCTGAAAGCACCTTTTCACTTAAATTTCATCGGCCGAAAGTTGGTTCGAAATTAAGATTCTGTTCCTCCCTTATTTTTCTCCGGTGATAAGCAATATTTGAACGGTAAGTAATTTAGAAGAAAGAAAAGAAAGCTTATTTTTCCATCTTTTTTTCACGCATCGAGATTTAAATTTAATCAAAGCTAAAACTTGTTAGCGAAATTAGTAGTATTTAGAAGTGATCGCGCCTGTTTGGAGTTTCTGACGTTAATCATCGCAGCGAAAGGATTGAGTAGGCAAGCAAGCGTGTGTACGAACAATTTTCGAAATGTCGATCGTTTGTGTCGAACGTAGGCGACGAGGCACCCGTACCGGATGACGGTATTAAACCTACCTTCACCGAACGACCGGTGATTAGACAATCCGACGACGGTAACACCATCACCTTCGAATGCCGACTTGTCGGCGATCCGAAACCGAGTGTCAAGTGGTAAGGCCTTGAGATTCGCGATGCGCGTGAGGAAGTAGCCTTGCCGGAAAATGCCGTTGCTGAATCATCGGAACAAATTAACAAATCAACGATTAATCGCATAATAAAGTGACAAATAATTATAATAAAATTAAAAAAAATAATTATAATACAGTCATAATAAATAATAACAACTGTAATAGAATTAAGAACAGAAATAGCATATTTAATTGAATTTTTCTCAGAAAAAGATTTCTAATATTTATAAAAAGGCATAAAATATTAATTATAGAAAACATTCAAAAGACTAGAATATTCGAAATATATATTTTTAAATATATGTGTACGTAAGTTTCAAGATTATTTAGGAAAAGATTATTTAGAATCTTGTTCCGATGGTTCGGAGTTCAGGGTCACGACGTGCACTTCCGAACGCGATCGCGATCGGCGCGATGCAAATCAATATTCGGTGGTTGCTTCGATTTGGCGGCGACCGTAGGTATCACGGTACCGAGGAAGTGAAAGATGGCGGGCGATTCAACACATCACTGGAACTTGATCAGAAGCTGTACCACCTCGCGAGGCTGAAGATCGACAACGTGGCGAAGGGGGACGCGGGCGAGTATAGAGCCGTGGCGAAGAACAAACACGGCCAAGGGGTGGCAACTATTAATCTGAACTTCGAGGGTGGCGACAAGCTCAAGTAGGCATCGAGAGATCATCTTCCGTCCTGTTGCGCCACAATTCCGACAATCGCGTTCTTCTTCGATTCGACGCGGCGCGATGAAAATTTGCATTGCAATATTTTCTTCGATAGTATCGCGAGTTACAAAGGCAATAATAGCAAAAGGGCACTTTTCAGTGAATTGCAATGCAAAAATAGTAATAATAGCAATAATAGTTGTAATAATTTTGGAATTTAATTAACTGATTTTTATTGAAATTAAATTTGCAAGAAATTTATGTCATAGAAGGAAAGAAAATGTTAAATGAAAAGTATAGGATTTTACTTTCGAGAAATTATCTCTATATTGAGATTCTGCTATTAAGATTCTTTACGTTCTTTACGTTACATTTAATAGTGCATGTCGTAAAGATTCCGTTCTGAATATGATAAATGTATTGATAAATGTATTGTAAAATAGAAGAGAAGTTGAAAATATTGGATTATGCAGATATTTGCATGATATTTCGTACTTTCTCTAATTCTTTAATTTTTTAAAAAGTTATTCCAAGCAAAAATTTCTTTTTTTATAAATACTTACAATATTTTTATATCTCTTATAAATTTGCGAATGTCTGCATATAGAAAAGTTGTACGTTCTCTTTAAAATTAAAAAAAAAAAAACAACAAAGTTGTTTTGTTGAGATTAAAAAAATTATTAATTTATTAAATTTTGACAAATTAAAGCTTAAGACTAAAAGAGAGCTTGCGACTTTTACGACAGTCTTTTCGTAACATCGCGTCGCGTTTTTGAGAATATCGCGTGGCGTAGCTGGCGAGACGGCAAACGAGACTCAACGTCGTCCATCGAGAAACGGCTTTATTCTGCGTCCGGTCGATCGGCGAATCGACAAATTTTTCGCGTCTGACGTGTCGATTTATGCAGAATACCGGACGGTAAGCCACCGCGCTTCCCGAAGAAGCCGACAATCCGTCAGGAGGGCGACGTACTCATCATGGAATGCATCCTGGAGGCACATCCGGTACCGGACATAACATGGTACCAGGGTCAGAAAACAATTGCCGACAGTAATCGCGTCAAGATGTCACGTAAGGCCACCGGCAAGGACACGTATCTGCTGACTCTCGAGATCTCGAATCCGACCAAGGCCGACGGCGGGAATTACCGTTGCAACGCCTTTAACAACTTCGGCGAGAGTAACGCCAACATCTCCCTCAACTTCCAAGGCAAGTCCCCCTTGAAGCGTACGAGAGGGCTCTCATTCTGAGATATTTGTCGAATTCATATATCAAAAGATCTTGAAAAAAAAAAAAAGATCAATTTTTTAATCGCGATCAATTACAAACACACGAACTTTAAAAACGTAGGAGCAACAACGCCACATTTGCAGATGTCTTTTTCTAGTGTGCTAGTATTATTTGCACGTTTGCTCTCAAAATTGATCTTAAAGCTACAAACCGCTCGGACAATGAAATCCCTCTCGTTGACTTCGTCCATGACGAGTCCCATCGACTTTCCCCCCTGTCTCCCTCGTGCATTTCTATGAACGCGTACGAACGATTTTTCTCGGTGAACGTTCGCGATCATTGGCGAGATTAGGTTCAGTTTGTCAGGTAAGCACAATCGCGCTACTGCTAACCAATCGTGAAGTCTCTGTATCTCTGCTTCGTAACTCATTGAGCTGCCAACAACACAACTAACATCATCGGGAGTCGCGGTCGCAGGTCATTGGTGACCTGCGACCGCGGCGCAGATCGCGTTTCCGGTGTCCCGCTGTGCACCCGGAAGTGACGTTCGTATCTCGACCGATGATGTCTAACCGTGGATCTTTCCAAGATGCAGAGGAGGGCGCGGGTTGCGCTCCGTCCTTCATCGAGAAACCACGCATCATCCCGAACGAGACCGGTACGCTGATCACCATGAAGTGCAAGTGCAAGGCGAATCCCAAACCAGAGGTAACGTGGTTCCGTGGCACCAACGTGGTCAAGGAATCGTCGAAGATCTCGATCAAGACCAAGACGGTCGAGGAAGATATATATGAGCTTATCATGGAAATAAAGGTAATTCTCTTCTCTGCCTGTTAAAAGCAGACATAGTTTTAATTTATCTTGTTCAACTGTTATAATATATACGAGAAACTCTGTTTTTTTAAGTTCATAGATATTTAGTTCTATGATTTGTAAACGTTTATAATTTTTTTATTTATACTGGATTATTAATGATACACAGAAAAAAATTAATTTTAAATCAAGATTATATACATTTTCATATATAAGCAAGAATATTATAATCTTCTTGCTATATTTATATTGATTTAAGGCTAACTTTTTTATTTATAATTACCTTTTATTAATTCGCAGTTGAATTATTTTAAAATATTTTTTTTAATAGGATCCATCAGCACCGGACGGTGGCACTTATAGATGTCACGTGAAAAACGAGTACGGCGAGAGCAATGCCAATCTGAACTTGAATATCGAGGCGGAACCGGAACCGGAAGGAGACGGGCCGACATTCGTGGAGAAACCGCGTATACAATCGCAAAACAAAGGCAAGCTCGTCGTCATGGACTGTAAGGTGAAAGCAAAGCCGAAACCGCAAATTGTATGGACTCATGCCGGTAAAACGGTAAAGGAGTCTTCGAAGATCTCTATCAGCATTGTTGAAGAGAAGGAAGACATTTATTACATCAAACTAACTCTGAATGATCCCGGACCGGATGATTCCGGCCTCTACAAGTGCAACATCAAGAACGAACTCGGTGAACTCAACGCTAATCTTACGCTGAACGTCGAAAGTAAGTTTTATTTTTCTTGTGTTAAATATCATTTAAAATAATAATTTGTTTTTATAAATGCAAAATAATCGATTCTGATCAGATTAATAGTAATTCAACGTTTGTTTCAATAACAATATTTAATTTTGTAAAAATTAAGTTGTTAATAAATACTATTTCTAGTTATATTTCAGTAAAACGAATGACGAGTGAAAGTTCTAATTTCTTAAGGAATTTCTTATTTCTTTGGAAATGTGAAGCGTATTGTAGAAAATAAATTTGCAAACAAAATATCAAACAATTTTTCAATTATTTTCAGTTATTCCCGTAATTAAGGAGAAGCCAAAGGTGGTGAAGATCGTCAAGAAGAAGACAGTCGTGATCGAGTGTCATGTTCTTTCTCAATTCGCACCCGACTGCACGTGGTTTAAGGAAACTCAGGCTGTTAAAGAAGATAATAGACACAAGTTGCATGTCGAACAAGTCAAAGAAGTGAGTTTCATACTATAAAACTTTATTCCGTGTTGTAATAAAATAGATAAGTATTAAAAAAAATTTTTTAGAGTAAAACTTAGTTTAAGAACAACATTATTTTCTTTTATATTTATTTCGTTGATATGTCGTATATATTTATGAAAATAGTAATTGAACATTATTCAGCATACATTACGACGATGTTTATTAAAAAAATTATTGTATGAGTTTTAATCAAATGATTTTCTTCGAATAGGGTGAATTCGCCGTGAAACTCGAAATCGAACAAATGTCGGCGGCAGACAAAGGCACGTACAAATTAGTTGCACGCAACGAAAAAGGTGAAGCTACCTCGCAAGTAGTAGAAGTGACGGAAATTCCAGAGGAGAAAGGAGAAAAACCAAAAATTGTTACTGGCCTCAAATCAATTGTAAGCATTTTTATTTTCAATTATTCGAAATGCGGCATTTTTTATTTAATATCTGCTTTGATGAAAAGATAATATTAAAATGAAGTTTTGTTAATCATTATATATGATTTTTATTTCTAGACTGTCGAAGAAGGCAAAACAGTTGAGCTCATCGCTACTCTTGCAACGCAAGATCGAAAAGTCACTGTTACATGGTCCAGGTACGTGCTTGAAACGAAAATTTTAAACAATGTAATAATTTTGTAATACACAATAATATAACATTTTATTTTATTCAAAAAATTTATGTCATGGAAATGTAAAATTGTCAATCGCCAATATTATATGATGTAACTTGTTTAATATTTTATAATTGACAATAATGTTTTTTTATTAATTGTCTTATAATTTGATCTATAAAATTTCTATAATTGTTACAATTCTAGAGATTCAACGGTCATCAAAGCGTCAAAGGATATCATGATTTCTTTCAACGGTTTGGACATGAAACTAACTATTACTTCAGCATCAACAGAATTCTCAGGAACTTATAAAGTTGTTGTGAGCAACGAATATGGCCAAGACGAGTCATCGGCCCGACTCGTCGTCAAGGTAAGAAATATTATTTAATTACGTTTAAAACATTACTGATATGTGAATGCAAATTCCTTCTAGTCACATTCTCTGTCTATAAATCCATATCCCAATATATTGCAATTCAACTACCGCAAAACAGTGAATTGAATTTTGATTGTAATTGTAATTGTTACTCCTTTTCTTTATGTAAATTTAAAATATATTATAAATTGATCCGAATACCCTTGAAAATTGACATGTTGCTCAAGTGCGAAACTAAATCAGAGATTTGTTAATGTAATTAAATCGTCGTTTTCCTAATGAATACAAAGGTCATGTGTAGATGAGATATGTTCCCCTATATATTGCATGCATTGTCGTGATTAAATTGCAGAAAAAAGAGGAAAAGAAAAAAGAGGAGGAGGAAGAAGAAAAGAAGAAGAAGAAAGTCGAAAAGAAAGAGGAGAAGAAAGAGGAGGAAAAGAAAGAAGAGAAGAAGGTGGAGAAAAAAGTCGAAGAAAAGAAAGAGGAAAAGAAAGAAGAAAAGAAGGTAGCCGTTGAGACGAGAGGATTAATCAAAATTTTATTTGGTTTTCTATCATTTTTTTGTTACTCTCCTATTCCTTCCCTTATGCCTCTTGTGATTAACAAAACATATTTACATTGATCACGTACAACTTGATACAGGATGATTAATCGTTTTGTAAAATTTATTATAATACGCTTCTTAACTTTAATTAAAAAAATAATTAAAAAAGTGATATTCTAAAGAAAAAAGAAAAATAAAAATATTATACCCTTATAATTCTTTATAATGCAATTGATTGTCAAAGTACAGACATATTAATGTGAATCAAATACTTCAAATATCAAATACTTCATATTAAAATTACTTATTATATACATAATTTGTTAAATGTTTGCAAAACGATTGATTTCTCGACTCCTCGACGCGGCAATTGGCATATTTTTGAAAAATTACATCTCGATAAAAGGTAATAAGTTCAATGTGGAGCGATGAGGAGGGTGAGGGGTCAGAAGAATATGAAGAGGAGATTGAGGAAGAGGAGGAAGTGGTGAGTGTAATTGAGTCCAGCATTATCAGCACAGAAGCCATTCTCGAGGAATCAGACTCTGAAATCATTTCTCGCGTCGAGGTACACATATACACAAACATATATCAACACTAATACATAAATTACAACTTTTCTCATTGATGTATATAAAGTTTCATTTATTTAATAATATTTTAGTAACACCGTATTATTAGTTACATTCTAATAAAATGGACGACCTTATTTTCTAATTACTTATAAAAACAATATTTTTATTTTATATTATTCGTTTTAATATTTCTTAGGTGTATAACAATTCTCTGTTAATTCAACTTCTTCGTCTCTTCTACGTATAAGTAATCATGTTTTTACAGAATAAATCATTTTTTTTCTTGTTATTTTTAAGGATAAGTCCGATTTGAAACCAAACGGTATCCACAAACCAGGGCTTGGGAAGGTACGAGATATAATTCATTCTTTTTAATTTTTTTACGAAGAGTAAAATGCGATTTTTAACCGAAGAAACAGTACACTATCAGAACACATCACATCGTGATGATAATTATATATTATTTGTGTCCTCCCATGCATTTTTTTTATTTCACCCTTTGTTATTTCTTATCTCTCTTGTTATTTGTGTGTCATACCTTTACCTGTGTGTACTGTGTGTTTTACAATATATAAATAAAAGTTTATTATGTGTTTAGCAGATAATAATTTATAATTATGATAAGTACGTAAACGATAGTGATTATATTTGTAAGAAAATAAAATTTTAAGTTTGTATAAAATATACGAAGAAAAAGTAAAAGTCTTGATACGTTCTGTTTCAGAAAATGGAAATTCTGCAGGTGAGCATAAAGTGTCAGATAGATTTCGGTAATGTATGCGCTCGAACAAATATCACTGTGCTCTGAAGCTTGATGCTTTGGCAAAATATTTTGCGAAAACAACATGTACATATTTATAAATCTCAACAAATTGCTTTCAGTTTCTCTTGAGTGTGAGATCTCATCTTGCAATCGCAAAAATTATCTCCATTCAAAAATTAATAGTCACCGCTTTTGCACCGTACAGATTCGCTTATATTATTTTGTTTTTCGCAGCATCCGCTTAATCTCGATTTATCCGCTAGGTTTCTTCGAACGCATTCTTAAACAACATATTGTACGCACGCTTAAACAACCTCCTCGATATTTATTTTTCTACGCTTGAAAAACGCAAATTTTCTAAGAGCTTTTTCAGATGGCACATTTCTTTCCTACTCCCAGAAGCTGGTTCCTTTAAGTTTAGCCAATTGTTTAATTCTTTATCTCTATATCTGCAAATTCTTGCATGCATAGTTTATTTTTTGCATATTATTGCGTGTGTTTGAGCATGAACAATTTTGAAAACAATTGTGAAAGGAATGAATATCGGAGCTATATATTGCTGATTAAATGAATGAGAATTATTTTAAATTATATTTACAATTATATCTCCGATTATTGCGTTTTTTAAATCGTGCAAAGATATTTTTATTAATATTTTATCTTTTTTATGTATATAGAAAGATGAAGAAATTATGAATAATGTTGAAGAAAGGAAATCTCTTAAGGTAAGACTAACTATAAAATATTTTCTAAATAGAAATTTATTAAATATTAAATTCTTATATTAAATGATATATAATAAGTAATTTCTATTAACTTATTATAAATATTTATCTTTATATCTTTATATATTTTCTTTTAATTTATAGAAAAAGCCTGCTGAAAAAATTGAAGACAAAAAGGAAGAAGAAAAGGTGAATGCGATTATATTTTTACAAGTTTAATTTACCTGCTAATAATCTATTTCTAAATTTTATTTACCTTTACATTTTAATATTTTTTCAGAAAAAGATTGCAAAGAAAAAAGAGCCCGAATCCAAAGAGGTGCATAATTTATTCTATACATTTTTATAGCATCATATCTTATGCTTTTTAGTAACAATAAAAAGAACATATTTCCATTAATTTATTTATTGCAAATTAATCTGATTAATCTAATTTGTATTACACATCTCACATTTACTTATAGATATCTCGAGAAACCACACCTAAACCTGAGAAAACCGTGACGAGTCGCAAGGAATCAGTTAGCAGGGTAAAAATATTAATTGTGTATTTTTCTAAATAGTTGTACAAATTAGAAAAAAGAATTTTTAAATATAAACTTTTATATTATGTTTTAGGTGGAAGAACTCAAGACAGAGAGCCGTCGAAGCTCGATTGTCAAGACTGAAGAAAAGGTATATAGACATTTTATTATTAAATTTCGTAAATATTTTGTGAATTATGGATCTGGAAAATTCATTTTATTAGATATACATATAAATACAAGTTATTTTCATTTATTTTATTATCATCGTGTAGATAATAGATGATGGCACCGCGACACCACGACGTCTTTCTGTACTAGAGGTACACACATACATATGCATACACATATACATATTTCACAGTATTGTAAAAATAATTTCAAACAATTTACAAGCATACTGACATTTTGGAAAAATCTAAATTTATTGACTACAATGAAATAAAACAGATTAAAATATTTCATTATTATAGAAATATTAAATTAAATAAAAATATAAATATAAATTAAATATATAGAAAAATATTTAATTTTATAATCGATGATATAATTAACTTTGCTTTAAATTAAAAATTTTACTGAAAAACATTAGCTCTTTATTAGAAATTATAATTAATAAGAAAATTTATTAATTTATATATTATATTTTATTTATTTATCTTAGATCGAAGAGGAAGTCAAGGTAGAAAGCAGACGATCCTCCGTACAAATAGAAAAGAAGAAGGCAACTGAAAAGGTAGGAAAGAACAGTGCCGTTTTTAATTGCTTATATAATGTGCTAACAAAATATTTTGTTGTTGATTAGTTAATTAGTTGTTATTGTTAATTATAATTTTTAAGAGCACCAAGTAAGTATGGAAATATGAGTGAATTGTCACCTTCTCAAAATTGACGTAAGAAGGAATTTTTGCAACAATTATTTATTTTTTATTACATAAAAGCTTTATATAATTCATTGTTTGCCAATTTGCCGAACCAGCCTGTCTATTAATACAATTGTATAATTTGTATTAACAAATTATATAATTTGTATACATTTCTCCTTAAGCAGCTTTTAGAAAGAATTTTTATTTGTAGTTTTGACTTTTGAAGCTTTCAATGTGCAAATAGTTTTGCAATAAAAATAAAATTATACAATTTTAACTTCAGACACAAAGTCATCACTCTATTTATCAAATCTGTTGCTCTTAATAAATGTTTGAGGCTGTAACACAGGAACAAAAATAATAAGAAAATTAAAATACACTTATTTTGTTCGGAGAATATCGAGGTTTGAGATTCGTGTTATAGTTGTTAGATTTGTGTACAAAAAGATAATGAGAATATCACATTTTGTATCACATCGTTGCAGGACGTAGCCACATTCGGGCCAAAAACCATTCCGCGAATGATTGAGGATGAGGTACACTCAGATATTGGTTTTTTTTTTTTAAACTACTTTAGATGTTTTATTTTATATTCTTTTTCTTTTCATTGCATTCCGTAACAAGATACCTACTTTTTTTTTAGAAAACACTTACATCGAAGTTCAAGCCACACACATACAAATCTGACGAAGAGATTCAGGTATATGATAACAATATTATTCTCGATTACATAACGTTCATTAAAATGGCATACACATTACTGCGTGATTTTAGGACATTTCGTCGGTTAAACCAATAGATAATAAATCGGTAAGAAAGTTCGAGGTACGTGACGCATTCATAGTTATCTTTATGCATCCTGAGATCTCGTGATATAGAAACATGATACGTTACTTTGTAGGAAACTACGAAATCCAAGGTAATTTCTTCGGTACGCGAAACTGACCGTAAACCGAAGGTACATATCTCGCGTCACTTAAAATACTTGATATTACATTGTTTATACAAAAGTGGAATTTATTTTTGATACATACGATAAGGGGGCTGACGTAAAGATAAATTTTCTAGGTTGCGTCTCGAGCTGCAATTAAGCCACGCGTGCGCGATTCAGATGATGAACTTGAGGTATATAGAAAATTATTATTGCGCATATGTCAATTAAATGTTTTGCGTATACGAATATGACGTATTTCATCGGCGCTATTAATTTTTAGGACGCTTGGAGTATTCACAATCCGGGAGAACGTGATAACGAATCTGCGCCATATTATAGAGTATGCGAATATAATACGTAAAAATAGACATTTCAGTTTAAAAGAATATAATATCTCGAACATAATTTTTTTTTATTTTTTATTTTTAGGACATGTCGTCAGATAAAACACACAAATCTCGTACACCCGCAGATACATCACATCCATGTCAAAAATCTAACGAAGACAAAGATAAACCATTACCACGTGACATAGATGTAAATAAATCACATCCACAAAAATCGGACAAAGAAATTGAGGTATAAAATAGTTACTGACGTTAGCTTACAAAGTTAGCTAGGCACGATATATGTTTAAAATATTAATCCTTTTAGAATATTTAGGCGAGTAAAAAATGCTCTCTCTTTCTCTCTCTCTCTCTCTCCCTCTGATTACTAAAAAACATGAAGTATATGAATATATTTGAATTATAAATATTATTAGCGAATAATTCTTTTTAAATAGATTATAAAATTTTAAATATTTTAGGATACTTTGAAAGACAAAACACATTTACACGATACGTCTACAAGTAAAATACTCCCACATAAATCCAAAGATATTTCTGTAGATAAAACACCCTCTCGCGATACACATAAAATACACCCACAAAAATCAGATGACGAAATTGAGGTATATAATATATTTATCACATCAACTGGCTAGAGATAAATCGCATATCGTTAAAATATCAATTTTTTTTAGGATATTTGGGCAAATAAAGAACGCGATACTGATTCCAAAAAATGTGACAAAGTATGAGAATGTGTTTAAATCACAGATATTAGCGAATAATTCGAATTTTTTTACACAGAATTATAAATCTTTAAATATTTTAGGATGCCCCGAAAGAGAAAATTCATTTGCCTAATACGTCTACAAGTAAAATACTCCTACATAAATCCGATGATATTTCAACTGATAAGATACTTTCTTATGATACACGTAAAATACATCCACATAAGTCAGACAAAAAAATTGAGGTACATAGTATTTTATTGTCATGTTTTTGTGTCATATAATTTTTAAAACATTTAAACTAGTAATGAATGCAATATTGATTGCAAATCGTATTAAAAAATCTGTTAAGATTAAATCTGTTCAGGTAAAATCTGTTCAGATTAAAATCTCATAAATATTATTCATAGTTCAAATTTCTTTAAAAGAAATTACAAAATTTAAAATATGTTATTTTAGGATATTTCGAAAGAAAAGACGTGTTTGCCAGATGCACCTACGAGTAAAATATTTCCATATAAATCCGACGATATTTCAAAACATAAAACACTTTCTCATGACACATCTATATATAAAATACATCCACAGGATGAAATTGAGGTACATAATACACATTATTGCATAGTTTGTGAGACATATGTATATATATATATATTATTTTTTTTTTTCGAAATGTAACTCTTTCTAGGATATTTGGTCGACTAAGCCGAAAGAACAAGACTTCGATTCCAAAAAACATGACAAAGTACGCAAATATAATTATATTATTAATCATCATGCGTGATATAATTAGATTGTATTAGGACAAAAGAAAGTAATGATGACATTTTAAATATTATTATAGGACATACCGAAAGATAAGACATTTTTACGTAATACATCTACAATTAAAACACAACCACACAAACCTGATGAGGTGCGGAAAGACAAAACACTTTCATATAATACACCCATAGCTAAAATATACAAACCTAGCGAAGTGTCGAAAGACAAAACACTTGTATACGATACATCTAAAGACAAAATACAGCCACACAAACCTGATGAAGAAATTGAGGTATAACACCATCACACATATATACATAATGATTATAAGTACATTTTTTAAATATATTTTACATATTTTAAAATATTATTATTATAGAACGTTTGGTCGACTAAACCGAAAGAGCGAGATATTAATTCTAAAACTTACAACAAAGTATGCAAATATTAATATTTGTATTAATATAGTGTTAAATAAGTACTATATATAAGTACTATATATAAGTACTATATATAATTTATACATACATATTTATATATACATACAGAGGAATATATAAAATATTTTAAACATAATATTATTTTAGGATTTACCGAAATCTAAAGATAAGTTGTCCTGTCGTCAATCTGACGAGGAAATTGAGGTACACATTATATTGTATTACATTAATTAATTTTTTATGTATTTTTTTAATTCTTTCAACTGATATTTTTAGAATATTCAATCTAAACGAAAGGAAAGTGACACTAGATTACGTAAAAATGACGAGGTACATTAAATATATTCTTAACATTTCATAAACATATATGCTGAAAACAGTCATTGTTAAATTATTAGCTTATAAAGAGAAAAAATATAATTATCAAAATATGATATTATTTTAGGATTCGCCCAAAACAAAAGATAAATCATCTCATCGTCAATCTAACGAAAAGATTGAGGTACACATTGCACGTTACATTTACACATTACATCGACTTTTTTTATATATTTTTTAATGTTGACACTTTTAGGATATTTGGTCGAAGCAGAAGGAATATGAAAACAAACCTCGCAAAACAGATGAGGTACACATCACTTTTTTTATACTTGATATAAATCTATGAAACAGTGGACATAGTTTTAACAATGTTATTATAGGGTACACCGATAATTAAGACTAAGAGACGTGTGTCTGACGATCAAACTGATGGCAATATATCTTTAGACAAAATAAAAGAACGCAATACCCAGCCTACGCAAAATAACGAGGTAGATAATTAGAGAAATTAAATGAGAAAAATTATATTTGCACAATTATAATATAAAAAATTTAACTTCATTTATTTATATTATTTTTTAATTAAGAGATAATTAAATTGATAAATCAATTTAAACTTTGAAAAAATTTTGAAAAAATCAAGTATAAGCGATATAAAAGCAAAATTAGCATTAAAAATATGGTATTTGCATATGTATATATATATATATATATATATATATATATACTATATATATATATATATATATA